GTAAAATGTTACCTCTTCTTTACGCTGATAAAACCTTTAGTTTTCTCAGGACAGTGACTTCAAAGGAATTTGGGGATTTACATATACATAGTAATCAATTCAAACCTTCTAAAGATTTAACAGCATCTTAGGTTTGTTTAGTACATCCTCATAAGTGGTGTGGCCCTTTAACCTTTTACTTATAAATTCTGTGTCTGATACTACCTCTCTCACTAACACCTGATGAAGGAGTAAGACTCTGAAAGCTTGTGTTTTCAAATAAGCCTATTGGACTGTAACCTGGTGTTGTGATTTCTGACCTCGTCGACCCCATTTCAACACCGGCACCTCCACATCGGATCTCCATCCAGCAATACCCCACCTCTGTTTCCCCACTTACTCCTGCTTTCTATCGTCTCCTGCCCTCCTTCCCTCTCTTCCCCCTGTCTCTGCTCCATGCCTGTCTCTCTCTCTCTCTCTCTCTGCCTTTTCCCTCACATAAAGTCTCTCTCTTTCCTTCCCGTCTTTCTCTCTCTCTCTACCACCCTGTCTCCTCCTCTTTCTCCCCCTCTCTGTATCTCCTCTCTTTCTCTGTCCCTGCAATCCATTTGTCCCATGTTCTTTCTCACTGTTGCCTCTTCATACCTTTCTCTGTCTTACCGGCCCATTTTCTGCCTCATCTCTACCCACTGTGCCCAATCACTCCCTTTCTTGCCTGCTGCTTCCCTCTCTGGTCCCTTTTTCCCTCCTCTCTGCCCTATCTCCACCCCTATCTCCACACCCTGTTACTTCGTTACAGATTAAGAATCATAGAATCCCTATAGTGTGGAAACAGGCCCTTCGGCCCAACAAGCCCACACCAACAGTCGGAGCATCCCACCCAGACCTATTCCCCTATAACCCACCTAATCTACACATCCCTGAGCACTACGGGCAATTTAGCATAGCCAGTCCACCTAGCCTGCACATCTTTGGACTGTGGGAGGAAACTGGAGTACCTGCAGTAAACCCACGTAGACACGGGAAGAATGTGCAAACTCCACACAGTCGCCCGAGATAAAATAAATCTCCCAAAAGTAAGAGTGTTCCAAGGGACTATGAGTAACTGAAAGAATTTAGTATGACTGAAAAGTGTGTAACTGTACAAACTAATGGGATTGAAAGTTCACAAATCTCCAGGACCAAATATCTGAATTATTGATGTCAAAATAATCTGTGTTTCCTTATTTATAAGTCCATGAGTGGTAACATGCAGGTGTGTCAAGAAATGAGAAAGCAAATAGCACTTTGGCCTTTATTGGAAGAAAATTTCAGCTCGGGACTCAGTTGTTGGGGTCTATAATGAAAGATGGGGTAACTGATCACTTTGAGAGGTCTCAGTTAATCAGGGAGAGCCAGCATGGATTTGTGACAGGCAAGTCATGCCTGAAAAACCTCATTAATTTTTTTGAAGAGGTGACTGAAGTAGTGGAAGGAATGACTATGCATGTTGTTTTTATAGACTTCCAGAAGGCATTTGATAATATCCCACATAAGGTAGAAACCCACTAAATAGAGGGCAAATTACTGACATGGCTGGGAAGTTGGTTGGGTGGCAGGCAACAGAAAGTAGGGAAAATGGATACGTACTCAAGTTGGCAGGATGTGATCAGGGTATCTCACAAGGATATGTGTTAGGGCCTCAATTATTGACATTATTTATGAATGGTTTGGATAATGGCATAGGAAGTCATTTATCCAAATTTGTTGATAAGACAAAGTTAGGTGGCATTGTAGAAAGTGTAGACGATAAAGTAAAATTGGAAAGGGATATTGATAGACTAAGTGAATGGGCAAACTGTGGCAGATGGCGTTCGATATAAGTAAGTGTGAGATCGTCCTTTTTTGATCCAAAATGAATAATCAGGTTATTTTCTAGAGGTATGAAGTTAAATACAGTGGATGTCCAAAGAGACTTGTGAGTTGAGGTATACAGATCTTTAATATGTCACTAACAAGTGCAGGAAACAATCAAGAAAGCCAATGGAATGCTGCCTTTTATATGTAGAGGACTGAGTACAAGGATGCTGACGTTATGCTGCAGTTATACAAAACCATGGTTAGACCCCACTTGAAGTACTGTGAGCAGATGTAGGCACCAGGCCTCAGGAAGGATATATTGGCCTGAGAGGGAGTACAACTATTTCTACTGGTTGGACATTCTAGAACTAGGAGCATAGTCTGAGAATTAGGGTCAGACTGTTCAGGAGTGATGTTAGGAAGCACTTCTATACACAAAGTTTGGTAGATGTTTGAAACTTTCTTCCACAAACAGCAGTGGATGCTACATCAGGTATTAATTTTAAATCCAAGTTCAATAATTTTTTGATTAGAGTTTACTGACACTTTGACCCTCCCTGTCGTACAACAGAGTCAATCATGGTACTACTGATCTGGTTGAGGCTGGTGCTCTTGTTTTTTCCTGAGAGGCCATTCCCTGCAACAGTATCCAAAGTGGTACATTTGTTTGAGAGGCCACAGGGCATTCCTGCACTGCCTGCCCTCACTAATTAGTCTTCCTGGTGGCCTTTTACTTTCCTGTTTGTGTAGCCCTTAATTGCAGCTCTTTAGTGACATTCTCAGCTTTGTGGATGCTCCAAAGTGAGTCCGCAGCTCCAGCCAATCCATGTGGTCAATCATGAGCTGCAGCTGAACACACGTCCTACATACATGGTCACTGTGGACACTGGAAGTGTCCCCTGATCTCTCTGTCATTGCAGGGGAAGCATTCTACAGGGCCAAGTTCTCCTGCCATTGTAAACCTAGCAACTAAAAATAATACACTAGGAACCTTATAACCTGTACAACCTTACCCACTACTCACCAAAATCAGATTTCTCACTCTCATTCTCCATTTCTACTTTAAACTCTATCTCCATCAAGACACTACTCACTCAGTCTCTGGACCTGATAGCTGAGCAGTTGATTATATGTCATTTTTTGCATCATGACATCACAACCAGAGCTCCATCCCTGGACTCAGCACCAGTTTGCTCTGCTCCCAGCACCACCACTGCTCTCACTGACCTCAATCCAAGCTCTGCTTCTCAGGCTTTAACAGGTTCACATTGCTCTGCTGTACTACCACTGTCACCATTGCTCCAGCTGACCTTGAGTGATCACCTGAATACTCCTTAAATTTTGTGATAGTTTCTGCCTCTGCCACCTTTTCAGGGAGTGATTTCCAGATACTCGCCACCCTTTGAGTGAAAATATTGTTCCTAAATTCCCTCTAAACTTCTTGCCCTTTCCTTCAAATCTATGCCCCTTAATTATTAATCCCTCTACTAAAGGGAAATATTTCTTTCTATCAGTGTCCCTTGTAATTTTGTGGACCTCAATTCACAGCACTCCCGCCTGCCAGCCTGATTTTCTTTAAGGAACACAACCTTGGCCTGTCTAGTCTCTCTTCATAGCTGCTGAATCTCTTAATATCCTGATGAATCTCTGCTGTACCCTCTCCAGTGCAATCACATGCTTTCTACATTGTGACAACTAGAATGGCAAACAGCTGTCACTCAACTCACATCTTGTACATCTCCATCATAACTTCTCTAATATTGAATCCAGTGCCTTGACTAATAAATACAAGTATGCCATTTCCCTTCTTAACCATCTTATCCACCTGTCATGTTGCCATCAACGGTCTATGGAAATGCACACGAAGATCCCTCTGATCCTCTGTGCTTCTTAGGGTCCAACTATTCATCATGTACTCCCTTGCCTTCTTAGTCTTTTTTTTAAACTCACTGGCTGTGCCCAGCATTTATTGCCTGTCCATAATTTGTGCTTGAAAAGGTGACGGTGACCTGCCTTATTGAGCTGCTGCAGTCTGTATGTTGTAGACAGATCCACAGTACCATAGGGAGGGAACAAGCTGCAGGGTTATGGTGAGAAGGCAGGGGAATACACCAAGTGAACTGCCCATTCAGAGAGCAGACATGGACACAGCAAGCTGAAGGCCTGTCTTCGTACCGTCAACAGTTGGTGATCTGATTATCCAGATTGCAAGGCCTCGAGGCACAGTGAGTTGGCAGAATAGCAAATCTATCCGTGGAATTCTAACTGTGATAAGAAATTCTGCACAAAGCTTCAATAATCTTTTTATTTGTGAGATGAAATCATCATGGCAATTAAATTGGTGTGGTGATTGTATGCGTGAAATGCAATAGTTATGGGCAATACAAGACCAGTGTGTAAATGTACACTATAGCTGCACTGAGCACTGATAGGACCTCCATTGTTCCACTGTATAATGATATTGTCTTCCCAGTTAAGGCTCACTATTGCAGCACCTCCAAAATTGGTACAAATTATGCTCCTTTGTAGTGTGCTGCTGGCAAAAATGTCCCATTTGAGTCCATTTTCAATGTGAATCATATCTATTATTGGCTCTGAAACGGTCATGTTCAATATTTAACGTGTTTAGTTACATGGCAAGTATTTTCCACATCCAAAACATGATTTTGGCGCTTTGAGAAAAGTACTAAAGTAATGGCAGTATTGCAAGCTGTTTGTAGAAGCGTACATACTTTAGCTGGTAACAATCACCAGCGGCAGCTCAGATAATCAAATAAGCATAAAATGGATCACCGTTCATAACCAGTTTATTTAGTCAATACCTTGTCTGAGAACTGTCAACACATTTGAATGTTATCTTGTTCTGGACAACAGAGTATGACCTCATCCTGGTATCTGTATCACAAATGCATCCCCAGAGATTCTAATTATTGATTCCTTTTGCCAATTAATACGTCAATTAATTAAGTCTGTGCAGACTTCCAATCAGAAGCTTTGCAACATCAACTCTTTGAACTTGTGTTTACACTGGGTATTGCTAGTCTCAACTACTTGTGTTGTAAATAGCACCGAACTCTTATGGGGAGATGCTGTGGGACCTGGAAAGAAGGTACCCTGCATATGTATTGTGAAATTTAGAAGCATAGAAAACAGGAGCATGATTAGGCCTTTCAGCCCTTCGAGCCTGCTCTGCCATTCAATATGAACATGCTGATCATCCACCTCAGTCTCCTGTTCCTGCTTCTTCCCCAAACCTTTTGATCCATTTTGCCCCAAGAACTACATCCAATGTTATTTTGAAAACATTAAATGCTTCATCTTCAATCGCTTTCTGTGGTAGAGAATTCCACAGGCCCACCGTGCTTTGGGTGAAGACATTTATCCTCATCTCAGTCCTAAATGGCCTACCCCACATCCTTAGACTGTGACCCCTAGCTTTGGCAACATCATTCCTGCATTTACCCTATCTAATTCTGTTAGAATTTTATATGTTTCAAAAATGCATCACCTCTCACTTTTCAAGATTAAATTCTATTTCCCATTGTTCTGCCCATCTGATCAGCCCATCTATATTGTCCGACAGTTTAAGGTTTTCCTGCTCACTCCTTACCATACTACCAGTTTTCATGTCATCTGCGAACTTACTGATCAAACCTGCTACGTTCATTTTCGTTCATTAATGTTCTGTACAAATCAGAAGGGACCAAACCCTGTGGTATGCCATTAGACACAGGCTTCCAGTCACTCAAACAACCCTCAACCATTACCTTCTGCCTACTGTCACTAAGCCAGTTTTAGATCCAACTTGCCAAATTATCCTGAACCCCATGGCTCTTACCACCTTGATGTATCTCCCTTGCAAGATCTTCTCAAAAGCCTTATTGGTCCATGTAGACTTCATCCACTGCAGTACCCTCATCCACAAATCTAGTAAGCTCATTGAAAATCTCAGTCAAACCTGTCAAACTTGATAATGTCCTGGTAAATCCATATTATCGTTGGTTAACCTCTACCTCTCCTCGCTTCAGAATTTGTTCCAACAATTCAATACAGATGAGTGTGAGGTGTTGCACTTTGGAAAGTCAATCCAAGGTATACAGACTTATACAGTAAATGATAAGGTCCTGAGGAGTGTTGTGGAACAAAGGGACCTAGGAGTACAAGTACATAGTTTGTTGAAAGCGGCGTCACAGGTGGACAGGGTGATGAAGTAGGCATGTAGCATGCTGGCCTTAATCAGTCGAGGTTTTGAGTATAGGAGTTGGGACGTTATGTTATAGTTGTATAAGTTATTGGTGCGGCTGCACGTGGAGTATTGTGTACAATTTTGGTCATCCTGTTATAGGAAAAACGTAGTTAAACTAGAAAGTGTGCAAAGATTTACGAGGATGTTGCCAGGACTAGTAGGCCTGAGTTATAGGGAGAGGTTGGCCAGGAAAGGTCTTTATTCCTTGGAACATAGGAGAATGAGGGGTGACCTTATTAAGGTGTATAAAATCATGAGGGGCATAGATAGGATGAATCCATATAGTCTTTTTCCCAGGGATGAGGTATTGAAAACTAGAGGGCATACTTTTAAGGTGAGAGAAGAAAGTTTTAAGAAGGACCTGAAGGACAACTTCTTCATGCAGAGAGTGGTGCGTATATGGAATAGGCTGCCGGAGAAAGTGGTTGAGGCAGGTACAATAGCAACATTTAAAAAACATTTGGATATATTCATGGATGGAAAAGGTTTAGAAGGATATGGACCAAATGCAGGCAATTGGAACTAGCTGAGTGGGCACCATGGTTAGCATGGACCAATTTGGGCCGAAGGGCCTGTTTCAATGCTGTATTACGCTATGACTCTCTATGACTCTAGTTTCCCTACCATTGATGTTAGATTCACAAGCCTATTGTATCCCTAGCACTCTTTTTGATCGATGTAACAAATTAGCTATCCTCCAGTCCTCTGGCACTTCTCCTGTGTCCAGAGAGAATTTGAAAATTAATGTCAGGGCCCTGCAATCTTCTACCTTGTCACCCACAGCAGGCTGGGATAAATCTCATCTAGGCATGGGCATTCAACAATTTTGGTTAGGCCTCAGCTGAATTTTCCTTTATTTTACCTGTAATGCTTTTCATATCCCGTCTTTGTATTCCTAATTTCATTTTTAAGTAACCCCCTGCACTTTATGTACACGTCTATGGCTCCTCATGTTCTGAGCCATCGGTATGTACCATAAGCTTCCCTTTCTTTCCTTGTCTAAGCTTCCTCAGTATCAAGGGTTTTCTGATACTGGCCCCACTAGCTAGGGGGAAACATCCTATCTTCTGCCACCCTGTTAGAATTTTGCATTTTCGGTCTCTCATGAAATTAAGGGATATGAGGACCTTATTTAGTTCCAAAGAAGAGCCCTATTTGACTCAAAACTCTGCAGTTCTTCTATACATAGGCACCACCAGATCAAGTGAGTATTTCCAGTATTTTGTTTTTATTGTAAATCTCCAGCATCCATGGTATTTTGCTTTTGTTTTTGCTTTGTGTATTAATCTCATGTGTCATTTTGCAGGTGATGCACCCGCAATACCCATGAAGCCCATTCCTCAGTCTCAGTTTGTTCCCTTGGCAGAAGTGCTTTGTTGTGTTATCTCCGAAATGAATGCTAATCGTACAGTTGTGACCCAGGAAGCCCTGTTGGAATATTTGGTCGAGTGTTATCCAGGTAATTTTATGGTGCAGAATTTATTCTTGGGCATATCTTGAATCACAACAGTAGCAAATTCCCTACGTACCTCAACTTCAGATCCAGGCAACCAAGTATGTACAACATTGTTTTCCTGAGGCCTTGGGATTGTGGAGGGAAACCTGATTTGTAGACCTTGCCTTGAGCAAACTCAATTGCACACTGCTTGTCTCATGTCAGCTTGGTTACTGTCATGCCATCATGCAATATGTCAACTATATCTTGTTGAGAACTTTGAAAGGCAACAAAGGGACACATGGAGATAACAGAGAGGAACTAGATTAGGCTAATTGGTCACTGGAACATGTTCCACAGTTCTCCTATGTCTTGGCTGATGTGACTTGTTGTCTTATTACTTCATTCTCTGTACAACCCTGGAGATAGTCTGTTGTGTCCAATGGCATTCATTGAGCATCATCTACCAGCCTATTGGCAATACAGTTCCAAACACTTCACTCCCAACTCACCTGTAAGGAGGTCCTTCACAATGTCATCACATATTTGCAGATTAAGAGAGAGGCAATATTTCACCAGCCGGGGAAATATCTTTCTTTCCTGCGTTCTATAGAGGCCAGCCATATTTATTCTTTAGTCAAATGGATTGCCTGTGTGATGTACACAATGTACCAAACTGAGGCCACTTTCACCTCATCTGATGAAAACACGCCCTTGAATTCAGTCTCATGAGCCTTAGCTGCAACTCCCAAATACAAGCTCTATGCTTCCCCAGATGGTGAAAACAATATGAGGCACCCTCATTGCTGACGTGAGACAATAAATGGTTATCAAAGCTTAACGGAGTAGTGTGCTGATAGTCATGCCCCAGTGTTCTATAAGCAGTCACACCAATGTATAGATAAATAAGATCCCAATGAATCCAAGTGGTGGAAAGAGTTGGTCTAAAGGGTCTGTTACCATGCTGTATCACACTGACTGTATAATAGTTAGGTGGTTGTTTTTGACCGGCATGAATGCAATGGACAAAGAGACTTTTCATCATAGATTATTTGTAGCTTAAAATACCAGGATATTGCTGTTTTACCATCATCATAGAATCCCTACAGTGTGGAAACAGGCCCTTCGGCCCAACAAGTCCACAGCGACCCTCTGACATCCCACCCAGACCCATCTCCCTATAACCCACCTAATCTACACATCCCTGAACGCTACAGGCAATTTAGCATGGCCAATCCACCTACCCTGCACATCTTTGGACTGTGGGAAGAAACCAGAGCCCCCAGAGGAAACTCACACAGACATGGGGAGAATATGCAAACTCCACACAGACAGTCGCCCGAGGGTGGAATCAAACCCGGGCCCCTTTCGCTGTAAGGCAGCAGTGCTAACCACTGAGCCGCCATGCCGCAGTACTTTATTGTACTGTAAATCTCTGACACCAAAATGACCAATTTGTCCAATTGACTGCCAGTCAAGACCAAAGCATTTCTCGCCAGGTCAAATCAGTAACTGAAAAATAACACTACTTATTGTAACACACTTAACTTTAGCAAGAGCAGTGAGAAGAAAAGACTTCTACTGTACTGCTATGCAACTTAAACTACACCAGTTCAAAAACCCCAAATGCATATAAATCACAATTAAGAAGCACAAAAGACAAACAGTTTAACATATGGGTGGGAAAATAATATAGAAACATAGAAAATAGGTGCAAGGGTAGGCTATTTGGCCCTTCAATCTTGCATCACCATTCAACATGATCATGAATGATCGTGCAATTTCAGTATCTCACTCCCGCTTTCTCTCCATACCCCTTGATCCCTTTAACTGCAAGGGCCACATCCAACTCCCTCTTGACGAACTGACCCCAACAGCTTTCTGTGGTAGAGAATTCTACAGGTTCATGACTGTCTTAGTAAAGAAATCCTTCCTCATCTCAGTCCTGAATGGCTTACCCCTTATTCTTAGACTGTGACCCCTAATTCTGGACTTACCCAATATTGGGAACATTCTTTCCGCATCTAGCCTGTCCAATCCCATCAGGATTTTGTATATTTCTATGAGATCCCTTCTCATTATTCTAAATTCCAGTGAGTACAACCCATTTGATCCAGTCTTTCTTCATATGTCAATCCTGCCATCATGGCAATCAGTCTGGTGAGCCTTCGCGAGACCCCCTCTACAGCAAGAATGTCCTTCCTCAGACTAGGAGAGCAAAACTGCACACACTCCTCAAGTTGTGGCCTCATCAAGGCCCTACTTAACTGCAGCAAGGCATCCCTACTCCTGTACTCAAATCGTCTCACTGTGAAGGCCAGCATTCCATTAGCTTTCCTCACCACCTGCTGTACCTGCATGCCAACCTTCAACGACTGTTCCACTATGATGCCCAAGTCCTGTTATACCTTTTCCTAAACTGCCACCGTTCAGATAATAATCTGCCTTCCTGTTTTTGCCACAAAAGTGGATAACCTCACATTTATCCACATTATATTGCATTTGCCGGTATTTGCCCACTCAGCCAGTCTGGCCAAGTCACCTGCAGCATCTTAGCATCCTCCTCACAGCACACACTGCCACCCAATTTTGTGTCATCTGCAGATATTGTATTCAATTCCTTTGTTCAAATCATTAACGTGTATTGTGAACAGCTGAGGTCCCGGCACTGAACACTGCAGTACCCCACTCGTCACTGCCTGCCACTCAGAAAAGGACCCATTTATTTCAACTCTCTGTTTCCTGTCTGCCAACCAGTTCTCTGTCTACATCAGTACATTACCTCCTATACCACAAGCTTTAAGTTTGCTTACTAATCTCTTGTATGGGACCTCGTCAAAAGACTTTTGAAAGATCAGATACACAACATCCATTGATTCACCCTTGTCCACTCTACTGGCTACATCTCAAAAAATTCCAGAAAATTTGTCAAGCATGATTACCCTTCAGTGAATCCATGCTGACTTGGACTGATCCTGTCACCGCTTTCCAAATGTTCAGTTATTACGTCCTTAATAATTGACTCTAGCAATTTCCCCACCACCAATGTCAGGCTAACTGGCCTATAATTGCCCGTTTTCTCTCTCCGTCCATTTTTTAAAATGTGGGGTTACATTAGCTAGCCTTCAGTCTATTGGAACGCTTCTAGAGTGTATAGAATGCTGGAAAATGATCACCAATGCTTCCATGATTTCTAGGGCCACTTCCTGAAATACTCTAGGATGCAGAGCATCAGGCCCTCGGGGACTTAGCAAGTTTTAATCCCATCAATTTCCCCAATACCATTTCCAGACTATTAAGGATTTCCTTCTGTTCCTCCTTCATGCTTGACCCTCTGTCCCCTAGCATTTCCAGAAAGCTATTTGTAGCCTCCATAGTGAAGACAAATCCAAAGTATTTGTTCAACTGGTCTGCCATCTGTTTGTTGTCCATTATGAATTCACTGGATTCTAACTATAAGGGGACCTACATTTGTCTTCAGTCTTTTTTTCTTCACATATCTATAGAAACTTTTCCAGTCAGTTTTTATATTTTCCGCAAGTTTACTCGTGTATTCTATTTTCCCTTTCCAAATTAAACCCTTTGTCCTCCTCCACTGAATTTTAAGTTTCCCCCAGTCCTTGGGTTTCCTGCTTTTTCTGACCAATTTATATACCTCCTCTTTGGTTTTAACATGATCCCTAATTTCCCTTGTTAGCCATGGTTGAGCCACCTTCCCTGTTTTACTGTTGTGCCAGACACGGATGTGCAGTTGTTGAAGTTCATCCATGTGTTCTTCAAATGTTTGCCATTGCCTATCTGCCATCAACCGCTTAAGTATCCTTGACCAGCTTATCCTAGTCAATGCATGTCTCACACCATCAAAGTTAGCTTTCTTCAAATTCAGGACCCTAGTCACAGATTTAACTGAGTCACTCTCCACCTTAATGAAGTATTCCACCATATTATGGTCACTCTTCCCCAAAGGATCTCACACCACAAGGTTGCTAATTAATCCTCTTTTATTACACAATATCCAGTCTAGGATGGCCTGTTCTCTAGATGGTTCCTCAACATATTAGATGAGTAAACCGTCCATCGTACATTCCAGGAAATCCTGCTCCATCATATTGCTGTCAGTTTGGTTAGACCAATCAATACGCAGATTGAAGACACCCATAATAACTGCTGTACCCTTACTGCACACATCTCTAATTTCCCGTTTAATGCCATCTCCAACCTCACAACTACTGTTTGGTGGTCTGTACACAACTCCCACTAACTAATATCGATCAGGTAAACAAAATTCCAAAGATCAGAAGTCCACATCACAAGATGGAAAGTTATTTTTTCACAGATCTTTTGATTCCAGCAATATCAACACACTGTCTATAGGTTGAAAGGCATTCTTCGATTTGATGGTTGATCACGTAAACCGAGATAGCAGACAACAGGAAGGCAATAGGCAAATTCCTGTTGCCTGCCACTTCAACATACCACTGTGTTACCTGGCCAACATTTCCGTCTCAGACCTGCTGCAGCGCTCCATTGAAGCTCATTGCAAACTGGATGAGCAGCATCTCATTTCCAGGACCCAGTATTGAGTTCAATAATTTTCGAACCTGAGCACCACCTTCTAGGTCCTTTACCCACACCCACACACATATCCACACCAGGTCTTGTCATGACATAAAGTTAGAGAGATTTACAGCATGGAAGCAGGCCCCTTGGCAGAACTTGTCCATGCCGCCCAGTTTTCACAATTAATCTAGTCCCATTTGCTTGCATTTGGTCCACATCCCTCCATACCTAACCCATGCATGTACCTGAGATGAGCTGCTTTCAGCACAGCGAACACATTTTCACCTGCTTATGGTCTCCATAATCAGCTTTTCTTTCTCCTGAGCATACTATCATCTGTCCCTTTCTCTCTAAATGTCATTCTCTCTCTGGGCTCCATTTCCGCCTACGCACTCACCTCTTTCCATCAGTTCACTGATGAAGTTCATCAGATGAAGGGTCACTGGACTCTTAACGTAAACTCTAACGTAAACTCTGTTTTCTCTCTTCAGATCCTGCCAGACCTGCTGAGTTTCTCCAGCAATTTCTGCTCTTGTTCATTTCTTCTTCATGCCAACTGATGTAAAATTTTGGTTTTGATACTGTAGGTATAGCAACACCCTCTCAGGAGATAGTGCACAGTGCCTTGGGCTCCCTGATTCAGGACAGGAAGATTTATCACACTGGAGAAGGCTATTTCATTGTCACTCCACACACCTATTTCATTACAGGCAGCACAGGGAAACAGAGACAGCCCTGGATGCTGTGTGAGAAGACCGCTGCCTCAATTGATCGTATTACATACCTGGTGAATGTGGAGAGCAGTCAGGAGCCATTGAGGAAGGACAAGGTACTTCCCGATGGAGTCCCCCACTGCAAGTCCTGTCGCTGCTTCAGCCAGCCAGAGGAGGAGCAACAGGCTGAGCCGCAGTTCTGTAAGAGTAGCCCAGGTCAGAGGAGCTGCAAGGAGCACAAGCCAGCAGTCCAGCACAGGGCCACTTCTACAGTGAATGGGCCTTGCAGGGCCAAAGAGAAGGGAAATCCCATCGGAAAGCTCAGCCTCAGCCTGTTCCGGCGCAAGAAAAAAAAAGAGAGCCCCAAGAGAGTATACGGGACTTTCTCAGCCCAGTTTCCCCCAGAGGAGTGGCCGGTACGTGATGAGAACAGTGTGAGGAACATTCCACGAGACGTGGAGCACCAACTCATCAAACGCATCAATCCTGGACTGACTGTGGAGAACCTGGTCAGGCACACTCTGCTGATGAAGAAACTGAGCAGAGAGAGCACTGCTCAATGTCACAGCAGTGGCTCACTGGACCAGCTGATTGGCAAGCAGAGGCATCATTCTAAAGAAAACCCGCAAAATACAGCAGCTAAGTTGCAACCACAGCAACGTAGAGTGAGGTCCAGCAGGGAGCAGAAAAGACGGAGGCTTAAGGGATCACTGCAACCAACCGAGGATCTGCCCAAGACTAGGAATGGTCCAAATGTGAAGGAACTGGACAAGCACAGGAGTGAAGGAGTGCAAACGCTTCATGAGGAGCTGCCAAGCCAGGCTTGCAGGAGTAGAACCCCAACCAAACACTCACACCAGAAAAGAATCGATGGTTCTTTCACCAAGATCAAATGCTATCATGCTCAAAATGCCACAATCAACAACCCAAGGGTGAGGCGGAGGTCACAGTCTCTGGACTCCTTTGCCAGGGCACAGGACACTATATTAGGAAGAGAGAGTGCTCCAGAGAAGTCCCAACCCAACACTGCTGTCTATCTCAGGCCAGCAGAGGAAGATAATGAGGAGCAACTACGAAGTCATGATGCTAGGATAGAGTGCAGAAACCAGGTTCTCTCATGTTACAATATCCCCTGTGAATCCCATGATTGCCTGAACAAAAACCAAACACCTGGCTCCCCCCAAAATATACACACTTCAAATTACATGCTTGCCTGCGCCCAGCAATATCACCAAGAGCAGGAGACAGAGAAATTTAGCAATGTAACAAGGCCAGAGGTTAGCCATGAGTATGAGGATAGTTCTGTCCCTCAAGCCTTGTGTGATCGAATTTCCAAGCAGGGTCAGAATCCTACCACGTCTACAACAGTGAAGTGTGTGAGTGTGGAGAGGCTCTCAAGCCTATCTCATCTGTCTGATGCACAACTTGTGTCCCTAGAGCAAGCACACCAGCCTGAGGGTGAAACAGCCAGCCAACCAGAGACCGATGAGGGACAGAGTGAGGTCTTCACTGATGAAGATCAGACCTTGTATCAGAGAGAGCTGGAGGAGGATGATGCCTGCAGTTCACTTTACCTCGATGATACTGAGCTGTCCATACATCTGCCTGGTCTCGACTATGCCGATGAACCTGGGAGTGAAGGTGTGCCGAGTGAGTTGTCCAGTGAAAGCTGGGTTTTATCCAAGATACTGCTGCAGGAGGAGCAAACTGCAGAAAGTGAATTTGCTGAACAGCAGGTGGGGAGCTGGTTAAAAGGAGCAAGTGACAGCAGTATGGGACAGTCCACACCATGCTGTGGGAAGGAGCCTCACAGTCCGTTTTGCAGATACCAGCCAATGATACCTCTGCCATATGAACACCTGGAGAAAGAGGAGCCTCCAAGTGGGTGCAGGGACCTCATCAGCAGTATATTTGATTTTTCTAACATGACAGTTGCTAACTCTTCTCCAGAGACCCTTTGTACATCTAGTAATGAAGGCACCAGAAACCCAACCAGTCAGGACCTCTGGGCTGGGCATCCCAGAATGAAAACTCAACTGATGAGAAATTTGGACCGCAACCAATTTCCTCACCACACCCACAGTACTGCATTACCACAGACCAGCCAAGACGACAACACTCATCTGGAGTTGCTGGAAAACTACAGCATTACTGAAGATAGTGGTATTGATTCACCAAGGTGAGTGTTCAAGAAGCAGGGCAGCACGGTGGCTCAGTGGTTAGCACTGTTGCCTCACAGTGCTAGGGACCTTGGTTCAGTTCCAGCCTCGGGCAACTGTTTGTGTGGAGTTTGCACATTCTCCCAGTGTCTGCGTGGGTTTCTGCCAAATGTTCCGGTTTCCTCGCACAGTCCAAAATATGCAAGTTAGGTGGATTGGCCCATAGCGTCCAGGGGTGTGTAAGTTAGGTGGATTAGCCATAGGAAATGCAGGGTTGCAGAGAAAGTGTAGAGGGATAGGTCAGGGTGGGATGCTCTTCGGAGGGACGGTGTGGACTTGTTGGGCCAATTGGCCTGTTTCCACACTGTAGGGATTCTATGAACCGAAGGGTTCTACTGGGTTCAGCATTTTGCTGGGTCATAGATTGAAAACCTCAGTTAAAACAGATGATCTGGTCATTGATATTTATGGAAGGTTTCTGTGAACAAATTGGCAGCCAGATTTCTGATCTTGCAATAGTGATTATGAAAAACTACTTCTTTCAGCCGATTGCGTCTGCACCCACTGTCCAATGAGCTTTATGATTCACTGCTGTTCTCTCCATATCCTTGTAAATCAAGATATAAAAGGGAGGAAGGAACTTGAAACAATTACAATCCCCAGGGAAGAGATATTAAGGAAACTATTAGTCAAGAGACTAGACAGAAAGGACATATTGATTGTAATTTTCTAAAATTTCTGAGATTCTGGAAAAGTTGATTGGAATATCACAAGTGTGACTTCTCTATTCAGGAAAGCAGTGAGACAGCAAGCCGAAAACTAGAGGCCAGTTTATCATGGGGATATTATTAAGGAGGTTATAGCATTTAGAAAATCTCAGTGCAATTAAGTAAAGTCAATATGGTTTTGTGAAATGGAAATTGTATTTGATTAGTTTGAGTTCTTTGAGGCAGTAACAAGTAATGTGGATGAGTGAGTACCTGTAAATGTGCTCTACATGAATTTCCAAAAGGCATTTGATATTGTGCCATGTCAAAGGTTACTGCACAAACTAAGGGCTTGTGGCATCAGGGAAATCTTACTGGCATGGATCAGGATTGATTGGCTAACAGAAAGCAGAGAATAAGGATAGGTGTTTTCAGAGTGACAAGCTGTAACCAGTGGAGTGCCACAGGGATCGGTGCTGGGCCTCAACTACTTACAATCTGCATCAGTGACTTGGATGAAGGGACTGAATGCATTGTTACGGTTTCTGATGACACAAAAGCAGGTAGAATGATTAATTGTGAACACTTGATTCAACAAGTGGATTTAGACAGCTTATGCGACTGGGCAAATGTTGGTAGCTGGTATGTATGTGGGAAAATGTGAACTTATCCACTTTGTCAGGGAGAATAGAAAACCAGCATAATACTTAAATTGAGAGAATGCAAAATTCTGTGGTTCAGAGGAATCATTTTGTACTGGTGAATGAACCATAAAGTTAGCCAGCACAGTGAGTGATTATGGAAGCATATGGAATGTTGCTGTTTATAGCAAGAGGTATGGAATATAAGAGTTGGGACGTTTTGCTAGAAGCAGTTTAGAGAAGGTTCATTCACCTGATTCTGAGGATGAAGGGGTTATCTTGTTAGCCAACATTGGACAGGCTGGTCCTGTTTTCATTGGAGCTTAGAGAATAACAGGTGATCTTATTGAAGCATATACAATCCTTCAAAGGTTTAACAAGTTTGATGGAGAAAGGATGTTTCCCCATGTGGGAAAGACTAGAACACAGTTTAAAAATTAGAGGGGGAAGAGAGAGAGAGACAGCTCCTTTATTCTCCTTCCCTCTCTCCATAAACATAATGGCAATTTTTCAAAAGACTAAGATGGGTTTTCCAAAATCTTTGTTCGTAGAAATTAGTTTTAAAGTGATGTGCAACAAACTCTCTTAGGTGCAGGATTTTATTTATTTCTCATGTTCAGTCTCCGAGTGAGTGTTATCCAATCCCTGTGACCACACGCACTCACACAAATACACATAACACACACGCATTCTCAACATGGATGTACACAAAGACGTGTGCACAAACACAAATCTTATGTGTAAAAAGACACAACATGCATGCACACCATGAAACAATGTATGCCCCATCGCAAAATGCACACAGATATGCACATCATGTGCACACAAAAACATATAACAAGCACAAGGCTCAGCCTGTGCATGCACATAAAGACACAGGCAGCGTGCACTCAGAGGCACAGACAACATACATATGCACGGAGACACAACATATGAATGTGTACAGGCGCACACAACATGCAGGCACACAGAAGCATATACATACACGCAAGAAGGCACGTATACAAAAGCACAGGAATATGCACCCAGTTAGGAGTTTTAAAATTCTGTCAAGATTGGTGATAAAGCAGTTCATGTGAAGGTTACTAGACCAAGGATCAGTTTGCTTTTCCAAGTGAACCTTCCAAAGCAGGTTTTTGAGATGGTTTTAACTCTTAACTCGATTGCTAGTTTAAACAGGCGTGCTGTTAGCCTAGAGGTCTGCTGCTGTTCTCTGTACTAGTGTTAAAAGCAAACTCCTTCAAGAGTTCAGAACATGTAAATAAAGTTTGACAAAATTCTAAAGGAGTTTCAATTACATGATGCTGGCTGTCAGTGGCTAATGGGCTGATAATTATTGAGCTAGTCATGTTAACAAAGAGTTTTCACTCCCGTGGTCAAATCCAAAGTTACTTTAGCAACATCTTCAGACATAGGGAGTTTAGAGATGCCTCTTTTTTAGAGAGTCAGGCTCGGAGACTAGGACTCTGAGCTCTCTTTGTTTCAATCCATCTACACAATAACAGGTGAGAAATTCTACAACGGTGGTCTGTCTCACTATGTCCACTGCTGGAAGCACGCAGCACAACAGCCAACATGTAAGTCGTGTGATCTGTGAGAGCAGTTTTAAAAGCCCCTCAAAAGTAATTTTTTAAAAACGAAAGGAAAAATCAGCTTTTCTTTTGAACAATTTGCAATATCCCCTTAGAAATCATAGGCAGAGATAAGAATTGTTTCTCTTAAAGGGTGTTCTGTGAAAAGTTCTGTGAAAAGTTCTGTGAAATTCTCTTCCCCAGAAACAAGTGGAACCTGGATGATTGACTATTTAAATGCTGGTTTAGGTAGTTTCTTGATTGACCAAAGAGTCAAAGGGTATTATGGGTAGACAGCAAAATGGAATTGAGGCCACAATAAGATTAGCCTCTGTTTTATCAAATACCAGGCTTAAGTGGCTGAACAGCCTCGCTCCTAATTTATATGTTCATTTGCAGATAGGGAGAATCTGTCTCCACTGACAGGAGAATTTGTAGTTGAAGATCACAAATTTATGATCAATTTCAAAAACAAAATTGCAAGGCAAGTCAGGGGAGTGTGGAGATGAGAGATTTTTTTAGGTTCTTTGCCAAGCCTGCATTTATTGACCATTCTAATTGTCCTTCAGGTGTTCCTGAGCTATCTTCTTTATAACCAGATGTCTTACTGAGCCATTTCAGAGGCAATCAAGAGTCAGCCATATTGCTGATCATCTGGAGTTGCATATATTCAAGAAGGGATATAAATGATAGATTTCCTTCCCAAAAGGACAGTAGTGAATCAGATTGATTTATTGTTGTATGTACCAGAGTGCAGTGAGAACCTTTGTGTATGAGCAGTACAAACAGATCATAGTAGGCAAGTTTTTACACTAAGTTAGTAATTAGATAGTTACCATTGCTGATGCTAGCTTTTTATTCCTGAAATGCACTGGCCTGAAAGGATGATGGAAGCAGCTTCAACCACAACTTTCAGAAGGAAATTGGATAAAAAATGTTTATCCGAAGGTATTAAAAGTGAGAAGCCCTAATGTCAGGGCTTAAGAGCAGGGGTGTGAGACTAATTAGAAAGTTCTTTCAAAGAACTGGAGCAACCCGATAGGCAAAAAGCCTTTATGATTTCATAATGTTTCGTAAGTTAAAAAACTACAGAAATGATCAATCCTAAATGTGAACTTCTTTTCCAGGACTCGAGTCAGTTTGGCATCAAACAATTCGATCATTCTGGACAGCTTGAAGCGACGGAGTTTGATGCAGAATTATGGAACTTTGAACAGTACTGGGCAGAATGGTGTTTTATCCCAGCATCCTTTACTGCAGCTCACCCCAGTAATGAATGTTTGATTGGAGGCTGTGCTAACTGACGCAGGAATGTAAAATGACACATAAATGTATTAGCTTTTGGGGGCTGTAAATGGTAAATGAGTTATGAATTGCACAGCTATTATGAAATCAAGACAAAAATACCGATGCTGGAAATCTGAAACAAAAACAGAAACTGCGAGAAAATCTCAGCAGGACTGGCAGAATCTGCAAAGAGAAATCAGAGTTAATATTTCAGGGTCCAGTGACCCTTCTTGGAACCAGTTCTGAAGAAGGACCTCTGGACCCAAAATATTAACTCCAATTTCTCTCCACAGACGCTCTTGAACCTGCTAAAATTTTCCAACAATTCCTGTTTTTGTTTATGAAACAACATCTTTTATACTAATGGCCTTTGAATTGCTCCCATTTACTGACTTTTTTTTAGTTAGTTCCTGGTTATATGGGTACTACTAGCAATGTCAGCATTTATTTTCCATCCTTATATGCCCTTGTTAGTAGTTTTGGTACGTGATCAGCTTGCTGAGCCACTTACGGGCAGTAAAGAATGAACCACTTTATCATGTGTCTGGATTTTTATGGCAATCCAGTAGTTACGTGATCACCATTTTGATTCTAGCTTTTTATTTCAAATTTTATTCGATGAATAGAATTTAAATTTCAGATTTACTGATTACTGGTCCTGTAATATAACCATTACGCTTATCTCTTCTTTTACATTAGTTTTATTTGGAAAAACTAAGTATTTTATGTGTTACTAAAAGAGATGTTTGTGCAAAAAAATTAAAGCACATAAAAATAAAAACATTTTTTTAAAAAAGTAATCTTTTAAAATATGAGTTTGCATTTTATGGGTGAAGGATAGATGCAAGTAGTTTTTTACCAAGGATTTCCAGAAAGATTTTGAGAAGTCTAAGTTTGTTTGATTGGTTAGATATCTTCTAATTGTAGTGATTGCAACAAGATCAGCCAGGTGGACATCATAGAATGTGAGTTCCCTGATTGGGGCTGTTAACCTGATTCAATCAGGGAGCCCTGGCTGACAGATATAAACAGGAGTGTCAGAGATTCTGTTCACTCTGAGAGCTGTCTCTGAGGAAGCTGGATCACTGTCAAGAACTCTCCCAAGTGTAAATAAAGGGTTACTTGGTGACAGGATACCAGTCTGTGTGGAGTTATTTCACTAATCAACCTGTTCAGAGATGGTATTGCACATTTCAGGAGAGATGGGATTTGAACCTGAACCTCCTGGCTGAGAGGTAGGGACTTACCACTGCAAAAGAGCTCCTGTTTGGTTTGTGAAAAGTAAGAAGTGGCACACAGAGGACATGGGCACAGACAGTCATTATAACAGGGAATATTTCACAACGAGGTCCTGACTGAGGAAAAGATTGTGGAAAATCCTCTTGAAAGGATATTGACTAAGCATTTGTAAAAGAAGAATATGATCATACTATCAAAGGTTTAAGTTGTCTATGGAAAAAGGCAAGGCATAATCCAAGATAAAATAATTAATTGGCTGAGATACCATGTGCAGACATTGTAAAGAAAGTTTCAAAGGAAGAAACTGATGCCCAAGAACATAGTGAAAGAGGAGGTAGTTGAAATACTCACTGAGCTAAAATACAATGACAAAGATTATAAATGCTGTCTGCTCTTAAAATGTTAAAACATCCAGACCAGATGAGATGCATCTGAGGATGCTTGGTGCACCTGATCAAGTGGAAATTGAGGACGCACTAGCACTAATCTTCCAATCTGCCTGAGATACAGGGGCGGTGCCACAGGGATGGAGAATTATAAATGTGATCCCTTATTCAAAAAGGGATGTGAAGACAAACCCCAACAACTACAGACCAGTCAGTTTGACCTTGGTGATGGGGGAAACTTTATAAAGTGAGATTCAGGAAAAAATTAACTGTCATTTGAATAAATGTGAGTTAATTAATGAAAGCCAATATAGATTTGTTAAGGACAAATTATGTTTAACTAACTTGCTTGAGTTTTTGAACATGTAACAGAGAGATTTGAACAAGTGAATGCAGTTGATATAGTGTCCATGGACCTTCAAAAGGCACTTGATAAAGCACCAAACAATAGTTGATCAAAAAAATTAGAGCTCAAAGAAGAAAAAGGACAATAGAAATATTGTTACAATGTTGGCCAAGTGACAGAAAACAGAGTAATGGAAAAAGCTTGTTTTTAAGACTGGAGGAAGGACTTCTGCATTTCTTAATCTACATCAGTGATCTAGAATGGGGATACAGGGCACAATTTCAAGACTTGCAGGTGATCCAAAACTTAGAAATGTTGTGAACTTTGAGGAAGATAATGATAATCTTCAAAAGGAAATGGACTAGTCCTGAGTATACAAGTGTAATAGTTTCATGCTGAAAGATGTGAATTGATAAACTTGGCTACAAGAATGAAGACTGGAAATCTAAAATAAAACTGAGATTTCTGCACAAAACAACCTCTAGGTGGTGACAGATTGGCAGGGGAAGTTGAGAAAATGATTACAGACTCCTACAACATGGAAACAGAACCTTCGGTCCAATCCATCCATACTGACCGTGTATCCTAAACTGTGTTATGGACCAGACCAGACCCCTCAAAATATTTTAAGAAGGTAGCCTAGACCCAACTCTTTTTTTTAAGGCAAATGTAAAGTGCCTTATTCCAAACGCAATGCAACCGATTCAAACTAATTGACATTAAGCAAAAACAGAATTTATTTAAACATGGTAGCCAAAGTACAAACAAAAGAAAAAAGAACTTAGAAATAACAACTCTATTGGAAAATTGAACCAAATGATAGATACAGTAACTTAGTTAATTAACTGTTCCAATATAGTAACATCCCATAAGCACTGCCCTTGGCAAAAACGGCAAATTCAGAAAAATAGATTTGTCTCACAGGTAACCCAGCAGCAGAGAGAAACCCCAGCTCCTAGTTGTAACCAAAAGAGGGAAAAGATAGTTTCTGCTTCTTCAAGACCACAACTGCAACTGCTTAAAGCTAAAACTAAAAAAAAACCTAGAAAGCCTGGTCTGTGAGAGCTGGTCACACCCAGCCAGACTGCCTCAATTGTTACAACATAACAAAAAAACCCAACGCCTCACAAGCTATTTGCTTTCTTACATTCAACTGGACACTTCTCATTCAACCTCCCTTTAAAAAAAACGACAGGACAAAAGAATCTTTTAAAGCCATAGCATCGTCACACCTCCCCCTTTAAAAAAATGAACCATCAATATACAAAGATGGTTTTATTTTTAAAAACCCTTAGCCTAACACTATTAGTCCACGACAGTACATATATATTATATTGTTTCCAAGCATGTAAACATTCACTACTACAGTCTATTTCAATTCATTTATTCCTGCCACTGAATGCCTCCGTCTTTCTTCATCAAAGTCATGACAATGTGTCGGCAATTATGTTCTCATCCTGCCATGTGTATAATTTTCAAATTGAATGGCTGCAAATAATAAGCTCCATCCAAACAGTCTGGAATTTTTGTCCTTAAATTTCACCAAAAGCTTTAATGGGTTATGATCAGTATATACAATTGTCTCAGGCACATTTCTGGCCAGATAAATGTTGAAATGTTGTAATGCCAATACCAAGCTCAAGGTTTCCTTATCAGTTGTGGAATATTTCTGTTTATGATAATTCAATTTTCTGGAAGAGAACTTTCTATCTTCCTGTCGTCTTCTTGTAAGAGACCAGCACCAACACCCAAATCACTCGCATTGTTCGCGACCTTGAATGGCCTGGTGTAATTAGGTGTGGCTAACACTGCAGCAGTGGTCGAAACAGCTTTCAGGCTATCAAATGCCTTGTGACAGTTTGCCATCTACCGACATTTTCTGTATTTCTTCATTAAGTCAGTCAGTGGAGCAAAATTCAGTATGAACTTCAACTAAATTCCACTTAATCTCAGGAATTACTACTGCACTCTTTGTCAATGGTATGGGAATCTTCCCACTAAGCTTTGTTTTCACATCCCGTAGAATATCCCATTTGTCCATGTCCAATAACATGGACCAGGAACATGACTTGGGCTTTTGCAAACTCACTCTCAGCCAGGTTTATCATCAAGCTCGCCTGCTGAAGTCGATCGAACAATTCTGATAGATGCTGCAAATGTTCCTTCCATGTGTGACTAAAAATCACCAGGTCATTGATGTACACCACACAATTGGATAATCCTGAAATGACTTTATTGGTCTTTGAAATATGGCTGGCAATTTTTCATTTCAAATGAAAAATTGATATAATCCATTCAGTGTCAGGAAAGCTGAAATTTCAGATGAAGGCACCTGGCAGTATCCTCTGAGTAAGTCCAACTCAGAAATATAAGTTGCTTGTTGCACCTTCTCAATACAGTCTTCCAAATGTGGAATAGGATATGAATCAGACTTTGCAACTGCATTGACTTTGCAATAGTCCATACATTACCATCGGGTACCATCTGGTTTTGGTATCATTACTATGGGTGAGCTCCAGTCACTGCAACTCACTTCCATAATATTTTCTCTAAGCATGCATTAAATCTTTTTTTGAACCTGTGCCAACTTTAGAGGGTTAAGTCTATGAGGACATTGTTTAATTAGAACAGCATTTCCTATATCTACATCATGCATAATTAGATTAGTACTTCCCAGCTTATTCCCACATATTTCCCCAGGCGACTGTAATAGCTCTTTCGGGTCATTCTGATTTTCCCCTGGAAGGTAACTCAATAATTTATCCCATTTTTTGAGAACTTCCTCATTGACCAATTTAATTTCAGGAATGTCCAATTCAGAATCCTCTGAATTCAGTTCTTCACTCTGTGTTGTAACCAGTAACACATTCTCCTTTTACAACAAGGTGCAGGGCTGGATGAACACAGCAGGCCAA